TAATATCCATCCCTCCACCCCATCTCTATCAAACCCTTCATTCAAGCCAAAATTCATCTGTGAGCCGTGTTCAATTCTCTCCTTGTTTCAGCTATGGCGTTATCTCTTACTCTCATTTTTTCTCATTATATTCCCTAATTTTACTAGTTTTGTTTGCGAAAAATACCTAATTTCAATTTTTTTGCAAGAAATATCCAGAATCGTCGATCGAGGTTTGGAAGATTGAACATTAACGGAGCAGATTGATGACGCTCACCACCTATTCTCTGCCCTCAATCATGAGGGAAGTTCCGTTTAATTTGCAAAATTCTTTCCTCGTGTCTTTATTTATGTAGTATTACTGTTGTTTATGTTTATAATAGTTTTTATCTAGTTCTAACTCGTTTCTTTGTAGTTTATGTTTTTTAGGAAACCATATAGAATGATATATTTACTGAATGATCCATTTTATTATTTTTTTTCCTTTTGGTAGTACCCCTATTGGGAGTGTGCAGAAGGTGAATACAAATAAAGCTTTTCTGTATCTATGTATTGGTAATTGTAGGTAAAAATTTTGAGATGTTGAAAAGATATTTCCATTAATTGACATTGCATTTGAATCCAGTTTCCCTTGTTTTCTTTACTGGATTTATGGATAAGTAGAATATTTTAACTTTATTTTTTAATTGTTTATGATTTTGATTGGGTCTTGTTTCTACATTGCATCAATTATTATAGGTACATTTTATACGTTCAAACTTTCAATTATAATACTTCATCACCTCTTTGTTGATTAACAAAATGTGACGAACCTTTGTTTTGGTCTGTGCAGCTTTTAGGATGCTGTAATTGTATATGGCGGTGCAATTGAAACTGTGATAATTACTACTGGAACTCCTTATAATAGCCTGCTATTGAAATTATAAGCAGTAATATAATCAAAGAGTCTGGAGTACTAAAAAGGTATTTAGTTTCCTCTTGAGATTTTTAATCATCTGAATTTTGTTTCACACCATTTCATCCTCATTTTAAAGAACATTGTTGAAAGGAGTTCGACTGTTATCCACTATTAGTAGGCATTTCCATGACATTTCGCACCATCCAAACTATTGCATAGAAAGATAATTATTATTTCTATACAGAGGATATACAAACTTTTTTCAAAGATTTATTTTCCCCGAAGAAATTATTATATCTTGTTTGGATTAATAGCAAGATGGTATCATTGTTGATGACAAATGCAAGTCCCATTAAAGGATATACATCGGGCAGGTTACATCTCGATGGACAACAATTTAACTTGTTAATATTGAAGTTTATTAGCTCTCCTACCAATATCTCTTAGCACCATTGGCCGTTTATCATCGACTTAAATCAGTTTCTCGATTATTATTATTATTTTTAATATCCTTCTATACTTTTTTTTTATTTTTCTTTATTTTATTAGTCGTTAATATTGAGTTAAATTTTGGATTGGCGTAATTTTAACTTCGAAACAGTTTTACTATCGACTGATATTATTTCTCAGGCTTCCCGGAATTTCTAGAGTTTTTTTATCCAAAGGTTGGTCAACGAGTTTCGAGTGGTTCTCCCATTTTAGTGGAAAAACCAACTCATGATTGATGATCTGATGTTTCAACAGAGAACATTGTGTTTTTATTTGCTTGTGAACAAGATGGTGATGGGCAACTATGTTATTATTCCACGGGAAGGGTAATCAATTTAACCTTGTAGAGATAATTTCTATTCCGAATCAATCAGCAATTACCAAGGATAATGACTCCATTCGAATCGATGGAGTCCTCTATGTCAAGGTATGTCTTTATTTGATTTTTTGGTGTGGCTTAAATAAACTGATTACTTGAGATTCTAAGTGAATGTTGACATCCATTTTCCTTTTTCGTGTTATGAAGATCATTGACCCTAAGTTGGGATGGTATGGAGTTGAGATTCCATTGTACGCTGTTATTCAGCTTGCACAAACAACTATTCGAGTGAGCTTGGTAAGATCACCCTTGATAAAACTTTTGAGGAGAGAGACACACTCGACATTGATCGGGAGATAAAGTGGTTATGCTTTAGAAATATATTGCATGTATAATTTCTCTGTATTATCATTATATGTATACTAACTTAAATATTTTTTTTTCTTTTGTTACCAGGTTAAAGGATGATATATGAAACCACTAGATAATATGAAGACTGTAGGATATTTATTTTTTGTTGCTTTTTGAATTTGGTTTAGATATATTAATCATAATTGTTTATTTATAGTATAGTTGATGTTTCACAAGAATGTTGTTGTATAAATATTTTTTATTATTAATAAAATCTCAGCATAGTTTATTACAGATTTGTAATGGAGTTTTGGTGCTTGAAGGGAAAAAAGGGATAAGGATGTGTAAAACATCTATCTATAGCATTTCATGTGGCATTTTGTATACGCTATTAACAACATACAATTGTAAATTATGAAATGCTATTATAGGCTTAGTACTTCCATAGACGCTATAAAATATAAATAATAGCGCTATAGAGATGTTATAAGAACTTACATATAACATTCTTTTAGAAGCCATAAATGCTATAAAAGTATATAATAGCGCTCTATAAATGCTATCATAACTTTTAATAGCAATTTCTAGAAGCCATAATATGGACTACAATAACGATTATAAAACGCTATTGTAGATATAACTATCATAGCGTTTCATAAACGCTATATTAGAGGTTGGACCTATTATAGCTCCGGCAGACATAGCGTTTGCAAAAACGCTATAGTAGCCTATAACAACGTTTTTCAAACGCTATGAATGGTGTTTTATGTTGTAGTGAAATTAACTAAAAACAATTCTCTTGTTTGGATAATTACAACAATCCTTCATATGAATCATTCAACACGAGTTTCTTTCAAGGTAATTTATTTTTAATTTATTTACCTTTTGAGATTTGTCACACTAATAATCTTGAATTTTTATTATTAATTTTTGTTGTATCGTTGCTTACGTGGCATTTATGAAACATCGTTCTTCTTTGTGAATGGGTTTCCGTTGTCCGGTCCGCCCCTGGTTTGAACTTATGATGCATTGTCACAAATTTTATTATAAAATAAAGGGTAAATTCGACTTTCATCCATCGTATTTTTGCTTGATATCACTTTACCTCCTACCAGTGGCGGAGCTATCCTTTGGTAAGGGTGGGCTCCAGCTCACTGTGGAATATTGATATTTTATACTATATATAGCTTAAATATAAATGGTTTATTGTATAATTAGTCCAGCAAAATAATCTAAATTAGCCCACCCACGAAAACTTAGAATTTATTCATAAAATTAATGTTATTTGTATAGTGAACAATTACTTGGAGACATTTCAAGAGAAAACCACCCCCTTTGTGTGAATGAATTGAGAAAAAAAAACGGGGCGCTACCCCCGAACCCCCGTAATTTCTAAGTCCACCCTGATCGGGATTTCTTGCTCCGCCACTGGCCTCTACTACTCTCAATTGTATTGATTTGCCCCACTGTACATTGGTTCGATATCACTTTACTCTCTTCTACTCTCAATTGCATCGATTTGGCCCCTTATACTTTAGTTCGATATCACTTTACCCCCTTCTACTCTCAATTACAAAATTAAATATGTTTTATATTTTCTTTTAATGTACTAATAAATTAATTGATTTAGTTTCTACTTTCATTAACTCTTCCATCCAATAAGGGATTTAATTAAATTAAAATAAATTCTTTCGAATCATTCTATCCTCGTAGTTTTGAAAAATTATTTATGTATGTAAATTTATAGGAATAATCGATCAACTCCTGAGGTCAGATCAAATTATGAAAATCCCTTCTGTTTGGATAATTACTACCAATCCTCTCAACTATAATTGTCTTACTCGTACATCCATATGCTGTCAAATTCAACATAATCTTTTAGATTCCGTGGAATGTTCTCTAGTTTGTACTCATTTTGTGCAAAACATGCAGTTTTTTATGTACGAATGCTGTCAAATTCAACATAATCTTTTAGATTCCGTGGAATGTTCTCTAGTTTGTACTCATTTTGTGCAAAACATGCAGTTTTTTATGCACCACAATGTAATATTTACAAGCCAAGAGATACATCTATGATCATTTTGTTTAAAAAATATGGAACTCGAATGAGGTAAAACGGATACGAACTGGAAAATATTGAACATAATCTAGAAGATTCTTCTAAATTTGACACTGCAAGGATGGACGTGTAAGAAGATTCATAGTTGAGGGGTAGTTGTAATTATCCAAACATAAAGTTATTTTATAATTTGACCTTACCTTAGGGGTGACCGTAATTTGATTTCGTTGAAAATTTGCTTTCTATTTGCAGTTATTCGAGAATAAAAGCTTATGGCAGCCAACGGGCGATGCACGTGTGATGGATATGGATGCGGCGGTCCCGATTTATCGTCCTACAAAAAGCAGGCTATTGAAATTCGACGAATCAGACAAGCATCATAGGAAGTGAAAACACATCCTTTGTGTCCAATTTACAACAACCCGACCAATGGTAAGGGAGTTGAAAATGCCCGAATAATTGGTTCGATTTCGACCTGTGTGAAATGTGTTAATGGTGCTGTGAAAACTACTCATTTTTTGTAGTAAAAAACGACGCCAAAAATCTATAAAGATTTAATGAATGCTTTGAAAACGCCGGTTAGTGCTGTATTGATGTACCAATTAGCAATTTGCGTCACGAGCAAATTTTCGGGATCCAAATCCAAATCCAATTCAAAATTCGTATTCAAGAAAAAGCCGGAAAAAGAAGCAACGGTGAAAAAAACACCAAATAAGTCATTCCTAAGTAATGTCAACAGTTTAACAATTGACTGGTATGTAAATTGCGACAACCGAATTTACGAGGGTAACATTCAAAACGAGGACCCGATTCGGATTTGTAAATAGCGGTCCCATTTTATTACATATCAAATGTTTTCAAGAACTCATAATTAATCACACTCTTTGCTGGTCTTCAAAGCCTAATTAAAGCCTCTTACATATCCCATTTCCACACTTAGTCACACAATCATCCATCTTGTCAGCATCTGCATTATCGAAAAAACGATCGATCGATAAACATAAATTATTATTTTTATTTTTTAATTTTGTAAATAGATTAAACATTAAAAAAAATAAAAAAAAAATTAACAACTTACCGTTGCTAAATCCAGCGCATTCGTGAATAGCGCAACCCAATTTACAGTAGTGAATCTTGTTCGACCCCGGTGGAGACGAAGCCAAGCATTCGTTAAGGCATTGTAATCCGCACGTCGGTATATCCTTTCGTTGGTTCGTAGTGCAATCATTAAAACAAGGTGAATAACATTCTTTGAAAGTTACTGCTAATGCTTCTTGACCTGCAATTAGCAACATAATCACCATGATTAATTGTGTTAATTTCATAGGGTTAGTAATCTTGTCTTGATGCATGGTGTGACAATTTAAAAAAAAAAAATTGCTCTTTATTTTCTTGAAGCAAATTTGTTGTTGTTCTTGAATTATATGTGTAGATCAAAGCCCTCATTCGATTCCTATTTATAGAGAGATTTCGATTTCGGTAATCGGATTGCGTGTATTCGTTATCGGATTTTGTGTTGGGGGTGTAATCTGATTATATATCTCCAAAATCTTCATTCGTATGCTCTTTTGGATTAAAATAAGAGATTAAATTCTGAGAGGATGAGCGATATTTAATATAAATCGGATTCCACTAATTTTTTGACATGCGGCACTCTTAAGTCTTAACTTTTCATAAATCACATTGATTATAATTAGGGTTAGAGGGGTTACGTGTTTTTTTTTTTTTTTTTTTTTTCAATTATTAGAATCCTAATTATATTTTTATTTAAACTATCCACGTGTCAATCATCCTATGTCATCCGATTTCCCTATTAAAACAGGCCATCCGGTCTAAATTTGCACCCTTAAAATAATTACCGGACCTCGAAGTTTCGGTGTGATTACAAATAAATTATTCGGGTTTGAAAATTTGCTTAAATTTTATTAAAATTACAAATTCAACCTATATTTTTTTACCCTTAGTAAATATTTATTGCATAAACTAAATTACACTATCTAGACTCTTTTAAATTTCAAATATTTCCCTTTTAAATTTCAAATATTTCCCAAACCCCTCTTGATCAATTAATCCTATTTGATTTTGCTTAGATTTTTAGTAAAACTACCACTTTAAGGGATATTTTGATATTATTCTTTAAATAAAGAGGGTTTATATGTAATTTCACCAATCTTTGGGGAAGGACGGGTCTATTCTATGCTACACCGGATGAAAAACACCGAGCAGATCTTTACCATTTATATACATACAAACACCATACACCCACATTAGTGTGTGTAGATCGATGGTAAAAAAATCACTCAATATAGCACCAACAATGTTATAGCAACTATCGCTCGAACACTTTTGCCCTGATCCATGACTTATTGTTGATCTCAATTCTTAATCGGTTAATTAATACTCACTAATTACTCTGGTTTATGATTTATTGACGGTGAAAATTCACACTTATATACTAATTTTTTTAAGGGAAAATCCGATTGAGATTTCGAATTTGTATAATCATAAATTAAGTAGCGAGAAGCTCATGATTATAATCCGTGTTGGGTTACTATTGTAGTTAAAAGAAGGACTGCACTATTAATTATAAAATAGTGGTTTTTTTTTTTATATATATAATAAAAAAGTGGATTTATAGTGATTAATATTAATCTGCATAATTATGATGATAATACGAGCATATATTTTGTTTAGTCAATATTATGTGAGTTAATTTATAATTTATTTTCCATGTTGAAATCCGATTTGAGTAAATCCCCGTTTAGTCAATGTGAAAACTAGTATTTCTTTTGAAGTAAAATACATACATGATTTTTTCATGCGTAATTGACACTTTGCACCCTTGAATTATATGGGTTTGGCATTTTGCACCCTTAAGTTGAAAAAATAGTTCTTTGACTTTGCACCTTTGAATTACATGGGTTTGGCATTTTGTACCCTTAAATTGAAAAAATAGACCTTTGACTTTGCACCCTTGAATTATATGTGTTTTGCACTTTGCACTCTTAATTTGAAAAAATAGCACTTTGCACCCTTCAATTGCAAACACCTTGGCACTTTGCACCCTCTCTTATTTCTCAACTAATTAAAATTGAGGTATAGCATTCAACCCCCTTTTGTCACAAGCTTTCGCAAATATCCACTCATGCTCGTAATATCAAAACGCAACCCCCTTATAGTTGATACGGATAGTTTGTGTTAGTTTGTCCGAACCTCTCTTGATCAACGAACCATGTTTGGTCGTTGATTTGTTAAGTGTCGTCCAAATGATATTATTTGTGAATGATCCATTAATAAATTTATTACCCAACACATTTTTCAGCAACCCACGTAACACTTGAACCCAAATTACATGTCAATACAAATCTACTTTGACACCTCTCTCTCTCTCTCTCTCTCTCTCTCTCTCTCTCTCTCTCTCTCTCTCTCTCTCTTAACACATGGGTTGTTCTTCACTTACACTCCAATCTTATTTAACTTTCATGTAATTTGAAAATTGTATGTAAGATTTCTATTCATCGATTCTAATCCAACTTGAATAAATTTTAAACTGATTGAACACGAGTCCTTCTTCAAGACTTTGTTTCCATACACGTACTTATTCTTTTATTATTTAAATAAGGGTAAATTACACACACCCCCCTGAGGTAAGCTTAAATTACATGTCACCCCATAGCTCTTTGTTGTCTTCACCACTTTCTGAAACCAATAGTCCGTTAGAACCCTATCGGAATAACGTATCCAATTCATTATCCCATTAGAGTTTCGGACTACGTTTTCGGGGGCTGAGTGTAATTATCGATACCACAGGGACCTTACAGTTATTTAAGCTTACCTCAGGGGGGTGTGTGTAATTTACCCTTTAAATAAATTTCGATCACGCTTTCGAGCTCTTAACATGCTAAAAGATACATTTCACTTAATTATTCTCTTATTTGCAAAAAAAAAAAAAAACATATTGAAATTTACTTTTTATTTTCATGTAAAATCAATATAAGATATATAGAGTACACTCACTGAAAAACAAGACATAAATGTAAATTTCAAATTTCAATCGTACAAATCAAATGTTTTCAAGAATCACAGAAGTACTATTGCAGTCAAAATATCCGTTGACCAAAATTTCATTGCCTTGGCAATGTTTTCACGACTTGGTTACATTCTCCAGTCTCACACTCATTCATACAATCATCAGCTTTGGCAACATCTGCATTATCCAAAAAGTCGATTTCGTTAAAAAAAAAAATCAACTTTCGAAATTTCGGAATCAACGGATTTTAAAAAAATCATTTTTTTCAGTCACCCATTATATAAAATAGATAATAACATTAATATAATAATGCAATTTTCAAGTTAAAATCGTTGTCTTTTTTGAAAAAATCGAAAATCGAAAGTTTCATAATTCAAAAACGAAAAATGTAACTCTTCTGGACTAAATCTGCCGAAATGGAAATTTCTTGGATAATTATCCGGTTTGAGTATATATATGAAAAAAGATTATAAATAGATAAAATGAAATAAAATACATACCGGTACCAAATCGAGAGCACTGATTAATCGCACAATTAAATTTGCAAGGGTTGTCGGCAAGTTCGACCTTTCTGCACTTGAAGATGCATGATACGAGGCACACTGTAACTTCCTTAGCTTCAGCAAAGCAATTGTGCAGACAATCACCATAGCAACTCGCCGTTGCTTGCCCGGCGCACAATAGCACCAACAACGTTATAGCAGTTATCGCTCTAACACTTCTGCCATGATCCATGTCTAATTGTTAATCTCAGTTCTTTAATCAGTTAATTATTCACTAATTACTCTCGTTTGTGATTTTATGACCGGTGGAAATTCGTACTTATATATAGTAATTTTTTTCTAGGGAAAATCGGATTGAGATTTCGAATTTGTGTAATCATAATCCGTGTTGGTAGTTAAAAAATTGACTGCATTATTAATTAAACAATTAGATTATAGTGATTAATATTAATCTGCAAAACTAGAATGATATTATGAGCATATCTTTTTGGTCAACGCTATGTAATGACGTTAATTTATAATTTATTTTCCATGTTGAAATCTGATTTTAGTAAATCCCCTTTAGTCAATGTGAAAACTAATATTTCTTTTGAAATAAAATACTTTAATAATTTTTTCATAATTGACACTTGCACCCTTGAATTACATGGGCTTTGCACTTTATACCCTTAAATTGAAAAAACTAGTCATTTGACTTTGTACCCTTGAATTACATGGGTTTGACGTTTTGCACCCTTAAATTGAAAAATAGCATTTTGCACCATTCAATTGCAAACTCCTTGGCAGTTTGCACCCTCCTCCACTTTTTGGTCAGAAACGTGATGGACAACCGGTTCCAATAAGGGTATATTTGTCTTTCTCTTATTTCTCAGCTAATTAAAATTAGGGTAAAAATAGCATTTGACCCCCCTTATTCACAAACTTTTGTAGATGATCACATTGTACTCGTAAGATCAACAACTAACCTCCTTGGTTGATATGTGTAGTTTCGTTAGTTTTTCTGAACACCTCATCATCGATTTGGTCGTCAATTTGTTAAGCATCGCCCAAATGATATCATTTGTGAATGGCTCATTAATCAATTCATTATTCAATTCACTTTCCAATAGTCCACATAACAGTTGAGCCCAAATTACAAGTCAACTCAGACTCACTTTGACTTGTTCTCTCTCCTAACACTGCAATCGTTCTTTACTTATACATCAATCTTATCTAGCTTTCGTATAATTTGAAAATTGTATGTAAAATTTCTTATTCATCAATTCTAATCCAACTTGAATAAATTTTAAACAGATTAATTGAACACGAGTCGTTCTTCAAGACTTTGCTTCCATACACATATTTTGTTACTCTTTTATTATTTAAATAAAGTTCAATCCAACTTTCGAACTCTTAACATGTTAAAGAATTCATTTGAAATTAACTATTTTCTTATTTGCAATTACCTTTCATTTTGCTATAAAATCGACATAAGATGTATAAAGTACAGTCGCCGGAAAACAAGACATAAATGTAAATTGCAAATTTCAATCGTACACATCAAATGTTTTTATTTATTTTTTATTTTTATAATTATTCTTTTCTTACAAATCGAATGTTTTCAAGAATCCCAGAAGTACTATTGTGGTAAAAATATTCGTTGACCAAAATTTCATTGCCTTGGCAATGTTTTCATGGCTTGATTACATTCTCCAGTCTCACACTTATTCATACAATCACCGGCTTTGGCAACATCTGCATTATCCAAAAAATCGATTTCATTAAAAAAAAAATCAAAATCATAAATTTCGGAATAAAAATCGACGAGATTTAAAAAAAAAAATAACATTAATATAATAAATGTAATTTTCAAGTTAAAATCCATTTTTTTTTGGAAAAATCGAAAATCTAAAGTTTTAGAATTCAAAAACGAAAAATGTAATTCTTATGGACTAAACCTGCCGAAATGAAAATTTCTTGGATAATTATCCGGCTAAAGTATATATATTAAAATAAAATTATAAATAAATAAAATACATACCGTTAACAAATTGAGAGCACTGATTAACCACACAATTAACTTTGCAAGGATCGCTGGCATTCACAAGTTCGACCTTTCTGCACTTGAATAGACATGTTATGAAACAAGTACCCGTATCCCCAGCATTAAAGCATTCTGCCAAACAATCACTATAGCAACTCGCCGTTGCTTGCCCGGCGCACAATAGCACCAACACCGTTATAGCAGTTATCGCTCTAACACTTTTGCCCTGATCCATGTCTAATTGTTAATCTCAATTCTTTTAATCAATTAATTACTCACTAATTACTCTGGTTTGTGACTTATGAGCGATGGAAATTCGTACTTATATATAGTATTTTTTTTCTAGGGAATCTTGGATTGTTAATCGGATTGAGATTTCGTATTTATGTAATCATAATCCGTGTTGAAAAATTGACTGCATTATCATTTAAACAAATTAATCTGCAAAATCATAATGATATTATGAGCATAGTTTTTTGGTCAATATTATCTAATGACGTTACTTTATAATTTATTTTCCACGTTTAAATCCGATTTTAGTATATCCGATTTACTCAATGTGAAAACTAATATCGCGTTTGAAGTAAAATATTTTCATGTTTTTTCATTGATAAGAGAACTCGAATCAACTAAAAATGCACCTGATAAACCCTGTTTAGTAATGCTCATTATTCGAGCTCGATTCGGCTGATAATCCAACCAAGTCAACCATGCCGACTAAAACTCAATAAAATTCAAATATATTTGAACAATTAATTGTCACTGTCTATACATCGATGCATCAAAATAGTATATACGTCGTATTGTTGACCGAAACGCTTCGAAAGATATTTCCTGTATCCATTATTGCAAGATTACAATTTCAATTCAAAAAATATCCTAAAATACAAATATTAATATTTCATTAAAAAAAATAAAAATATTAATATAATATACCCTTCAATTAACTAAAATTAAATTAAAATACAAATTTATAACTATTCCGAACCTTACCCAACAACTCTCAGTCGCCGCTAAAAAAAAAATAGCGTTTCTACTGAGTCATAATTAATAATAAAATTAACTAATTCAATGCTAATACGCTTCAATCTTATTAGTTTTCATGAAATTTGAAAATTGCATGTAAAATTTCTGATCCATAAATTTTAATCCTGCTTGAATAAATTTTAATAGAATTGAACACGAACCAAACTTCTATAATTTATCATTAATACGAGTATTTTATTATTTAAATAAAGCTCATTCGAACTTTCGAGCTCCAGATCTTAACACATTAAAAAATGCATTTGAAATTAATTATAATTATTCTCTTATGTGATTTTTTTTTTAATTTACTTTTTTTTTTTTTGTTTTTTTTTTTATATATAATTCACATAAGATGTAGAGTACGGTCACAGAAAAACTACACATAAATTTAAATTGCAACCAATCCCATTCCCTTTACATATCAAATGTTACATTTTTTTTTTTGTTACATATAAAATGTTTGGAAGAACAACATAAGTAAAATTGTGGTCAAAATAATCGTTGACTAAAATATCATTGCCTTGGCAATGTTTTTGTGGCTTGGTTGAAGTCCTCACAGCTTCCAGTTTCACACTTGTTCATACAATCATCAACTTTGTCAACATCTGCATTATCCAAAATCGGAAATTTTCGAATCAGAATTAACAGAATTTAGAAATTTTCATTATTTATTCACAAATTACATATAGTAGATCGATACATTAATATAATAAATGCAGTTTGATTGTTTTTGTATCTGATTGAAAATGGAATCTCATATATATTCCAATTTTGATTGATTTTTTCTCTTTCGAAAACCGACAGTTTCATAATTCAAAAAACTGAAAACATAAATAAAATAAAAGACGTACCGTGAACAAATCGAGTGCACTGATTAATTGCACACTTAAATTTGCAAGGATCATCGGTCGTAATTTCGACCTTTCTGCACTTGAAGAGGCATTTTACGAGGCACAACGTAACTTCCCCAGCTGCAGCAAAGCAATCTGCCACACAGTCACTGTAGCAACTCTTAAACGACGCCGTTGCTTGCCCGGCGCACAATAGCACCAACAACGTTATAGCAGTTACCGCTCTAACACTTTTGCCCTGATCCATGGCTAATTGTTAATCTCAATTCTTTTAATCAGTTAATTACTCACTAATTACTCTGGTTTGTGATTTATGAGTGGTGAAAATTTGTACTTATATAGTATTTTTTTAGGGAAAATCGGATTGAGATTTAGAATTTTTGTAATCATAAATTAAGTATCGAAAAGCTCGTGAATGTAATCCGTATTGGTTTAGTATTGTATTTAAAAAATGGACTGCATTATTAATTAACAAAATTGGATTTATACTTTATAGTGATTAGTACTAATCTGCACGATTAGGATGATATTATGAGCAGATACTTTTAGTCGATATTATGTAATGGCATTAATTTATAATTTATTTTCCATGTTGAAATCCAATTTCAGTAAATCCTATTTACTCAATCCGATTTCCTTTTATTTTTATAATTTTTTCGTTGACAAGAGAACTCGAATTGAAGAAAAATGCACACGTTCAACTCTGTCATTGCAATTGTAAAATAATTTGTAAACATCAAATTACTCGTCTTTGATCCAAGTTTGCCTCGAGTAATGTTCATTATTCGAACTCAACGCGACTGATAATTTAACCAATGTCAACCATGCCGACTAAAACTCAATAAAATTCAAATAAATTTGAACACTTAATTGTCAATGTAGACATCATATATCTCGTTACAAATTTAAAGAGTAAATATTTTAATCCAATATTTGAGATAAATATACATGTTAAATATATTTATCCACAATGCAGAAATATTTATTTTCAATAAAAAAACAAGGTGCAATTTCTTAGGGATTATTAAAAACATATTGAATTTGATAATAAAATTATATAAATTTTTTTTTACTGCAAACATGGTTAGTAATATAAAATATGTTGACCGTGTTGAGAGGGGTAAAGTGTTACCTAGCGTATACTTATAAAAGGGTAAAGCATATTTTACCCTATTTAATAATATTCTTAATTACCGTATAAAAACCTTAAATCACTAAATTAGTTTTTGCTTGAACTTTCGATCGGCCTATGTACAATATTTTCGACTATAGAGGCTAAAATCGATTTTTGATTTGCTAGTTTGTATCCGATTGTCGTCTATCGAGTGTGTGATCGATTTTCAATCGTTGTATGTCGACATTTCAAATTCAACCGAGTGTTGTATTTTCCAAATTTTCCAAATTTTCCAATGAAACAAATCCAACCCACACTAAGCAGTTATCAACTTATTATTTATCATATATATAAACTTGAAAAAAGAGAAAAGGCAACCAAAGTCTTTATTCTTAATTGACCAATATATATAAACAAATAAAAGTTGAAATAAACAATTTATTCGGGTCAAATAAAACCCGATTCTCTCTTTCTAAGCAAGTTTTCTGGGTCGACCCACTTGACTACATTGACCAGTCTCACAGCTAGTCACACAACTATCCATCTTGTCAGCATCTGCAAATAATAATTCAAACATCACCAAATTAAATCCACATCAAAAAATAAAAATAAATAAATAAATGGTAAATTACACGTACACCCCTAAGGTATACTAAAATATCTTTAAGGACCCTATAGTATCGGTAATTACAATTACGCCTCTATGTTGTCTCTATCGGAATAACATATCCAATGCATTATCTCGTTATAGTTTTTAACAATGTTTCGGGAGGTAATTATGAGTCCCGAAACTATATGGACCTTAAAGTTATTTTAGCGTACTTTAGGGGTGTACGTGTAATTTACGCATAAATAAATAAATAAATACCTTTTCCAAATTGAACGCATTGATCAGCTGCGCAGCCTAATTTGCAATAATCCAACATAGTCCCGGGCGGATTAACAATACACTTAGCCAAACACTTGATTGCACATTTGGGTTCACTCTCGTGTCCCACAACACACCCAACCACACAAATCTCAAAGCATTCCTTAAAACCCGCCGATGCTAATTCGCTTGTTAATAGCATCATTAACACCATAATTGTCAGGTTTATCATTTTTTTATTCATTTTTGTGTGTGTGTGTGTGTGTGTTTATATATACGTATATATATAGATATGTATGAATAATTGTTGAATGATGAATTGTTGAGGCATCGTTTGGTTCATATTTATAGAGGTAGTGTAGTGCATTTGTGATATTGAGATTGGAGATCTAGTTGTAATTTGATTTTGAGAATATTTGAATTTTGAATATTGAGATTACATATATTTGTGTGATTTTGAGAATTTTAGTTTATAAATAGAGGTTGACCAACAAAATAATGACGAGATGTTGACTTTTCGGACCAAATTTGTAATCTTTGCATTAGTCGATATCATGTAATTAGATTGTCGGGTAAATTACACCCAACCAGGTATGGTCAAATATAAGTTTTGGGTAATTACAATCACCCCTCAATTATAAATTTTCTTACACAGTTCAGTCTTGAGGTTTCAAATTTAGTGGAATCTTCTAGATTTTATGGAATATTATCACTTTTGTACCCGTTTTATCCCATTCAAGCTCCACGTTTTGAAGCAAGATGATCATAAGATGTGTTTTTTGGCTTGGACATATCAGATTTTTGGAGAATAAAAAACTGCATTTTTACAGAAAACGAGTATAAACTAGAGCACATTACACGAAATCTAGATAATTATGTTGAATTTAACACCATAAGGCCGGGTGGAGGTGTAAGAAGATTCATAGTTGATGGGATATATGTAATTATCCAAACAATGAATTTTTCGTAATTTGACCATACCTCAGGGGTGGTTGTAATTTACCCTTAGATAGTGTGATTAAACCCTTATTCTTGAAAATCCAATTTCAATAAATCCCATTAATCCATTTCATTTGAAATCATAGTAAAGAATTACAATTTTTTTTTTCTCTCCAAATTTCATTACGAAGTTCAATTAACTGCAATGGCATCAATGTATCGGTTTTGTAAAGCCTACATCTGGTGAAATACAATGTTTAATTTTGCACGTTGATCTACACATAATAACACACACCTATATACATGTGTGTGCTTAATGAATAGTTATTTATATGGATCTACGGAATCAGATGGTGTATTTTACCGGGCGCAACATTTCGAAAGTCATAATATATCTATAAAGATGAGCAAATAATGCAAATACATACCATTTTTAGATTATAAAAATTAGAAAAAAAGCCCTCTAATGTCAACTTTCATATATATCTAATTAAACATTTTAAATTGCACAATAATTTTCCAATATATTGCTTTAATTAATAAAAAAAATCACAATAAAATAACTATATTGGTGATGGAGCTTCATTTGGTGACAACACTTGTGAAGTCCCGGATTGGTCAACGTAGCCACATTGACCAATGTCACATTCATCAACACAGTTAGCCACCTTGTCAATATCTTCAATCTTAAAATCTGCAATATCCAAAATAATAATTTAATTATTACCCAAAAAATTATTAAAATAAATAAATAATAAATTTGAAGGCATCCCCATACCCTTTTTGCAAGCTAGAATAATCCTTAAATAAATTATATACTAGTATTCTATTTCATAACTCGTTTAATATATACAGACGGATTTCCTACACTCGATTTCTATTCGTTTGCCCTATATAAGTAGCATTAAAAAAGAGGTATACACAAATTTTAAAATCGGGTGAATATTGTTAACCGACTGATTATCAAAATACGTCTCGATTTCTACATTTTACTCCACACAAGTAGCATTAAAAAAAGATCGCGTAGATATTGTTTTCCGATAGACGATACAAAATATGTTGAAATAATAATAATAACAAAAAAAAAAAATCGAAGGTCAAAAGTTTAATTACCGTAGACAAGAGGAGCGCATCGATCAAGGGCACAACCGAGCGTGCAATTTTGGAGCTCGTTGTCGAGCTCGTTTAGCGGGCGAACGCCGAGAAGGCATTTAGGGAAACATTTAAGCACACAACCGAATTTGTTGTCTCCAAAGAGACAACCAACTGCACAACTTGCAAAGCAAAACTTGAAATTCAATAATGAAGCAGATGCTTTTTGTTGTTGGCCTGCAATGAGTAGTAGTACCATCAACCCTGCAGCAATTGCTTGTACATTCCTCCCACTTTTACCCATGGCTTCAAATCTCTAAATTAAATCTCTCTTTAATTAGGGAGTAGTTCTTGGTAGATAGATATATTTTATGTGTTACAAATTTCCAACTTTTAAATACCAAAATAAGTCAAAATTGTAACACCCTATATTAAATGCCATTTATTTCTTGTTTTAAATTTTCAATGGCCATTACTTTTACTTTTATGTTTTTTTGACCTTGCAACACTATGAATACGAAATCTTTTATTTATTTATTATCTTCTATTATTTTCTTATTAAATTTTAATATTTTGGCCAATAAAAGGTAAAAAAAAGTATATTTTGGGCAATAAAGTAATTAAAATTTTATCTTTTGGGTATTTTTTCGATTATCCACTTTTAACTTTTTATTTGTATTTTTCTTCTTTTTATTTTTTTAAGGTCAATATAATCCACTCTCTATCCCTTTATCTTAATGAGTTTACTTTAGTATTTTATAAATAAAAAATACTTTTTTCCAATTTCGAATACTTCCCATGCTATTATACATTGGATTTCATCGGTGTTTAGCATCTACAAAACTCGTTAAACTGTTTATAGTAGTTTGTCACTCTCTTTCAATCCCACCCAAATTGGTGACAAATATTACCTTCGATGTGTTTTAGATATATTATTAAATAGGATAAATTACGATCACCACCCTGAGGTAACATAAAATACAGACAAATCCCTTATTTTTGAGAAATTACATACAATTTGTAATTTATTATATTCATCCCTTACAAAAAGTGTTTACATAGGAAATTTAAAAATTGCTAGAGGATGAATGTAATTATGAAAAATAGACCTTACCTCGGTAGTAATTTGCCCTATTAAATATATAAATTAAATATGATTATTAGTTTAGAAATTTAATAACCTGACTGAATAGGCCTGACGAGGCAAAACCCAAAATTTTATTTTCAAGCCCAATATTATTAATGTAGGACCACACACATAATCTTGAGTTAGATACTCCCACAGCCTATGAAATACGGCAAATTGGGCCCGCGGGCTCGGCCAACCCGGCCCACGTAGGGAAACCATGAGTCCAGCCCCGCCCCTTATCCCATTTTAACTCCTATTTTGACGGGCCCGACGGGCCGAAGGACAAAAAGATAAAAATTAAAAAATTATATAAATATGTAGAATGAGTTTATAAATCATATATTTATTTTAAGGCTATTAAATAAGTAAGATACATATTTATTAAACTATTTTTTGATATTTATTAGTAGAAAATTGTTGGGTCGAGCGGGCTGAATCCACGGGCTGGCTGTGGGCGGGCTTCATGGGCCTGGGTTGCGGGTGGAGCGCAGGCCTACGCCTGAGTTATGTTCATCACTACCATGAGGTAACGTCAATTTATAAAAACATTCCTATTTTCAGAAATCATATTTAGATCCCTACATTTTGGAAGTTTCTTACATCCACGCCCTGTGAATGGGTGTTGATGTAAGCAATTTACAAATTTCGAAGGGTAGATGTAATTATGAAAATATAAAAGGTTTTTTTTTTTTGTAAATAGATCTTACCTAAGGGGAGTGTTGTATTACTTTACCCAAAATTAAATTGTGGTCCCTTACCTATAAATTTTACGGGCAATTACGACCACCTCAGATGTTAGGTCAAATTACGAAAAAAAATCCCCTTTATTTAAGTAATTAATTATAAGCACCTCTTAATTACATTTTGTCTTTCGATGTCATAATTTACTTAATTTGCCCTAATTTTTAATAAAATATCACTCAATTATTATAATTAGGGCTGAGAAAGGGTTGGTTTTTATCCACCAACCGACCCATTATCGACCAAAATTTTAGGCGGATAATCAATTTTTACCCGATCCATTGGATCGGATCAAAAATTTCAACCAATCCATCTATAATGGGTCGGTTGGTGGTTTCTAATATTATCAAAAGTTGGTTGACCGATAATTATCGGTCATCCAACTATATTATTAAAATTTTATTAAAACTATAAAATAGAGACCTTGTTTTCTTAAGTGATTGTTGAAATTATTAAAATAATTAGTATTTAAATTGTAGAAACAATCCACAAAGAAAAAAAAAATTGACCTAAATCTTCTACTAGTTTCTTTATGCCCAAACTTAAACAAAAAGCATACAAAACTCCATTAAATCTCTTGTGCATGTTTGAAATTACTTTGAATTTCCTAAATATATTTTTCGTTAAATTGTTATTAATTATTTTTAACTGATAAATGGTGATCGCACCATGGCATTACGCAAAATGTGAATATTTTTACTGCAAAAATAATTTTTTTTAATTGAATTAGGTGATGGGTATAAACTATCAACCGACCCATTCCAGAACCAAATATTCGGTTGCCAACCATCAACCGACCCACAAAGGTTGGGTCGGCAATGGTTTTCAAATTTGAGCAAAAATGGTTTGACGGATGATTCGGTTTTTAGACTGGTAATCGACCGACCCAACCCAGTCCCAGCCCTAATTATTATAATGAAGAAAAATATACACATACTAATTAATCTCTAATATTCATATATAGCTACCACCACTATGAATGCAATAAATATTTAATGAAGATAATAACAACATTAAATCCAAAAAATAAAAAAAAAGCATTATAATTATAGTTTATTAAATTATTATATCACATACAAAAGCCAAGTCAGCTAAAGCAATCTCAAATTGCCATGCGTACAACACTAACGTACAGACTCATCCATCTGGAAAAGCTAACTCAGTGAGTCAACCCGTGCCGCAGCGGCGGCAGTGACGGCGCAGCCGCAGGTGAAATCCGATGACGGAGCACCTGATCAGTAGTACATGGCTTCCAGCAACCACCTTTACAAGACTGAAAATCCTTCACGCCGCCGCAGGTTTTGATGCATGCGATCATGCAGTCGGCGGTGTCATCGGCGGCGTTTCCTAGGGTTACGGCCAAATGGAGCGCCACCACCACGGCGAGGAAGAATACAGGTCCAATTCTGCTGCCCTTCATTTTTTTTTTGCTGTTATTTTCTCTTATCAAAATTTAGTGAGCCCTGAGGAATTGTAGGGGCACTTATTTATAGGGTAAATTATTTAGGTAATCTGTCATTTGATTCTTGTAATCTTTAATTTGTCTGGATTTTAGGGATTTAATTATGAATTACTCCCTTTTTTTCATAATATTTGTGATTTTTTTTTTTTTTTTAATTTCAAATTTTTTGTCACTATATAATTAGATTTCCAGAAAGAATTAGTGGTGAAGAATGAAGATTAAATGAGAGGGGTATTTTAGTCATTTATTTTGTCCAGAATTCATTCACATTATTAGTTTTTTTCAATATGCGTACATCAACTAAAAACGACAAATAATACGAGAATGAATGAGAACTAAATACTTATTATGTTATTATAATTAGTTTGATAACCCTTCATGTGTTTGAACAGCATCTTCCGATTTCCGGCCAGGTGAATAGGCGGCACCGCCATAGCCCGCCGGTGGTTTAACACAGTATTTTTTCCTACAATTGGTCCAACAAAGTTGAGGCAACCCATCGCAGAGTTTCGAACAAATATATTCGCAACGATCGTCATTGTAATGCTGTGCTTCTGCTACAGAGATAATCACCATAATTGCCATGCATCATTGAAATTATTATAGCTTTTCCCAATCCTGTGCACTTCATTTTTATTATTATTAATAATTTTTTTTATATAAATATTATTGGATGTGTATTTTGTACGAATTGTGAGCTAGGGCAGTATTTATAGGAGTGAATTTAATTAATGAAATTGGAATAGAGAGGATTATTTCATTTATTATGCATGGGATTTTTTATTTTCCACTTGGAATTTGATTTCACTCGCAATAAATTATTTACGCAGTTCTTATTACATAAATTTGAATGTTTTGTTGTCTAGTAATTTCCCATGTTATAATTCAAAGATATATATATATATATTCATTTAAGATTATTATATTTTTTTCATTTTTCCACGAATAAGGTTGAAAAACTAAGGTAATTTAATTCTACACTCTATTCGAGATTACTGGTTATATAGTTGCAGTGGCAAAATCAGGATTTTATCACTAGGAGCTGAACATGGATTAAATACAGTTTTTTATTTCCAACAATTTCGACCCAAAATTTTCCAATTTTTGGACAATAGTTTTCATTTCAAATTCCGATTTCGATTTTTTTGTACCAGAATTCGAATAGATAAGAGATTCTGATTAATGATCCAATTTTAATTTTTGAAAATAGTTAAAAATCAATTCCCCCCACCCGGCACCCAAAATATCAATATTATTATGCATTTTACACTTTAGCAGACTAAAAAATATGAAGTTTTCCGAATTCCACTATCCTGATCCTAAAATTTCCAACGTTGGAACGGATTTTTCTTTCCAATTTCCGCAACTCCGATTTTTAATTTTTCAGATTCTTTTTGAACGAAATTAGAATTAGGTTTTCACTCTCCAAAAAACAAACGATTTTTTTCTTCTGAAAGTTTTAATTCCAATATTATCCGTCGATTTATTACAAGTTATGACAAAATGACATTTATTCTCAAATTAAAAAAACAAAGAAAATGTGATACTCATCATCATCACCCAGTATATCATCATTAAAAGATAAAAAGAAAAACAAACAACATTATTACTGATGAGAGGGAGTTCAGTTAATTTGCATCTTTCCATTTTACTCCGGCCACCGGAGAGGCTGAGCCGCCCGGAAGCAGCGGCGGCAGATTACAGTACTCTCTTCTACAAGCATCAACACAAGCTGGATTTGTTATCACGTCGCAGAGTTCTGAGCAAATGTCGCATGGTTCGTTACGGTTACGGCGTCCTTCGGAAACATAGATCATATTAATCATCACCATAATCACCATTAATATCAATAAACCCCAACTTTTGATCTCCAGTCCTTTTCCCTTCATTTTCGTTCTTTTTTTTCTCTTCTATATAATTTGAGAAGGGCACAATATATATTTATAAATTATAATGCATTGTTTTTAGAGGGTATTAATTTTAAT